AAAAAAAAAAAAAAAAAAAAAAAAAAGCATAAGTAGGAGTGTAGGGAAAAAGCATAAGTAGGAGTGTAGGGAAAGCTTAACCTTCACCTCCCGTTTAATCAATGTGAATAAGACAATAGTAATCTTTACTTTCACAAAGTTTATATCTCTTCTCTAAGTCATTTTATCTTCTCCGTTTCTTCTCCTTTAGATGAGAGAATTGGGCCAGATTCATGATTATAAAAATACTTTCTTTGGGGCCGGGTGCATATCCCAGCACTTTGGGGGGCTGAGGCAGGTGGGTCACCTGAGGTCGGGAGTTCGAGACCAGCCTGACCAACATGGAGAAACCCTGTTTCTACTAAAAATGCAAAAAATTAGCCAGGCATGGTGGCGAATGCCTGTAATCCCAGTTACTTGGGAGGCTGAGGGTGAAGAATCGCTTGAACCTGGGAAGCAGAGGTTGCAGTGAGCCAAGATCGTGTGATTACACTCCAGTCTGGGCAATAAGAGTGAAACTCCGTCTCAAAAAAAAAAAAAAAAAAATTAGCTGGACATGGTGGCATGCCTGTAATCCCAGCTACTTGGGAGGCTGAGACAGGAGAATTGCTTGAACCCAGAAGCAGAGACTGCAGTGAGCCAGTTGAGATAGGAGAATAATTTGAACCCGGGAGGCGAAGATTGCAGTGATCCGGGATCTGCACTCCAGGCTGGGCGACAGAGTGAGACTTTTGTCTAAAAACGAAAAAACAAAAAAACTTCGTTTTCTATGAAATATTAAAATTGGCTTTATTGATATTCTTTTGGTTACCAGCCCTGGTAAACCAAAATACCAGCCCTGCCTGGCATTTTGCTTAATTCCATTTATGTGAAATACCTATTCACATATTGTTTAACTCCCGATTTATATGAAATACCCAGAATAGGTAAATCCATAGAGATAGAACACAGATTGCTTGTTTTCAGGAACTGAGGAGAGGGGGTGAATAGGGAGTAACTGCTGAATAGATACTAGGTCTCCTTGGCAGGGTGTGGTGGCTCACGCCTGTAATCCCAACACTTTGGGAGTCTGAGGCGGGCGAATCACGAGATCAGTAGATTGATACCATCCTGGTCAACATGGTGAAACCCCGTCTCTACTAAAAATACAAAAATTAGGTGGACATGGTGGTAATCCCAGCTCCTCGGGAGGCTGAGGCAAGAGAATCGCTTGAACCTGGCAGGCGGAGATTGCAGTGAGCGGAAATCGCCCACTACACTCCAGCCTGGGCGACAGAGCAAGACTGTCTCAGAAAAGGTACTAGGTCTCCTTTTGAGGTGATGAAAGTATTTTGGAACTAGAGAGTCGTGGTGGTTGCAGAATATTGTGAATGTTCTAGAGACCACTGAGCCAGTCCAGCGCTGTGGCTCACGCCTGTAATTTGGGAGGCTGAGGCTGGCGGATCGCTTGAACCCAGGAATTCTAGACCAGCCTGGGCAACATGGCAAGACCCGGTCTCTACAAAAGTACAAAAAATTAGCTGGGCATGGTGGCACGCGCTTGCAGTCCCAGCTACTTGGGGGACCGAAGTGGGAGGATAGCTTGAGGTCAGGAGGTAGAGGCTGCAGTGAGCTGTGATTGCACCACTGCACTCCAGCCTGGACAACAGGGAGAGATCTTGTCTCAAAAAACAAAATAAACAAAAAAAAAAAACTGCTGAATCATTCACTTTTATTATTATTATTTTTTACCTAACAATAATAACTTAAGCAAATTATTTACTTTAAAGTGGTTAATTATGGCCGGGCTAGGTTGCTCATGCCTGTAATCCCAGCACTTTGCAAGGCTGAGGCGGGAGGATCACCTGAGGTCAGGAGTTCAAGATCAGCCTGGCCAAGATGGTGAAACCCCATCTCTACTGAAAATACAAAAATTAGCAGGGAGTAGTGGCCTGAGCCTGTAATCCCAGCTCCTCGGGAGGCTGAGGCAGGAGAATCCCTGGAACCAGGGAGGTGGAGGCTGCAGTGAGCTGAGATCGTGCCATTGCACTCCAGCCTGGGCGACAGAGCAAGACTCCGTCTCAAAATAAAATAAATAAATAAAAATGAAAAATTTAAAAACCGGCTAATTATATGTTATGGGCAGTTCGTTTAAATTTAAAAAAGCCCACCTAGGTTTAAAGTGCCTGGTTGGCCTGAGAGCTCTTTAAGAGCCTCTCGGACGGGAGGCGGGCTAGAGGGGCGGACCTGTAGGAATAACGTGAGGCGGCGCCTGCGCAGAAGGGTCACGTGGTGGCTGGCCGGGGAAATGGCGGCTTCAGGAGAGAGCGGGACTTCGGGCGGCGGAGGCAGCACAGAGGAAGCATTTATGACCTTCTACAGTGAGGTGAACACAGAGTGAGGAGTAGTGGCACAGGGGTGACCTCTCCTGGGCCTACTTTCCCAGTGGACAAAGGCAGTGGCCGCCTGGCCTGGACCGTTGGGCTATTCCTCCAGTCCAGTCTTCGGGGTGGAGGGGGTCTAGGGGTGTGTGAGCGTCTCCCACTGATGGCTGCTGGGAGATGCCACCGGCAACGAAAGAGGGGCTGGTGTTCGACCTATCGAGGGAGGTGGCGAGTGTGTCCAACGTAGTGCGGGCGCGCGGGCAGAGTGCCCCAAGTCCGCGGAGTCGGGGACTGTCAGAGGCTGGGCCCTTCCTGGGAGTGACTTAGCCTTCTTGGCCCCCAAGACGTTTCTTAGTCCTCTGTAAGGAGTTGTTTTCGTGGTTGTTTATGCCATTCACGAACGCCAGGCAGTGTGTATCCTGCCAGTTAGGCATGATATTACCCCCATTTTGCAGATGACGAACCTGAGGTTTAGGGAGGTGAAATAGTTTGGGGCCTTATAGTAGGTTACAGCCTGGTGGTATGTTAGGACAGCAGTGGGCTTGGTCTGAGCCTCATTTACTATCGCGTATCCACCGCCTAGTGTGTCGTGGATGCTTGGTAAATATTTGTTGAGTGAATGAATGAATAAATGAAATAAAAGCATGGCATTTGGAATCAGAATCTCAGATTAAATTCTTTTTTTCTTTCCTTTTTTTACTTTTTTTTTTTTATTTTATAAAAACGGGGTTTCACCATGTTGGTCAGGCTGGTCTTGAACTCCCGACGTCAGGTGATCCACCCACCTTGGCCTCCAAAGTGCTTGGATTACAGGCGTGAGCCACCGTGCCCAGCCTCGGATTAAATTCTTGCAAGGGGCCGGGCACGGTGGCTCACATCTGTGTTTCCAGCGCTTTGGGAGGCTCACGTGGGAGGAATCCAAAAGTTGGAGGCCCTGTTGAGCTATGATCAGACCACTGCATTCCATTCTTGGCGGTAGGGTGAGACCGTGTCTCTTTAAAAAGAAAGAAAAAGGCTAGAAAAAAAAATTATTGGAAGGCAGTTAACCTGACTGGACTGAGATTGAATTCTTACAAGGCATTAATTTTGCAGATCTTCATGTTCCACATCTTTTTTTTTTTTTTTTTTTTTTTTTTTGAGACGGAGTTTCGCTCTTGTTACCCAGGCTGGAGTGCAATGGCGCGATCTCGGCTCACCGCAACCTCCGCCTCCTGGGTTCAGGCAATTCTCCTGCCTCAGCCTCCTGAGTAGCTGGGATTACAGGCACACACCGCCATGCGCAGCTAATTTTCTGTATTTTTAGTAGAGACGGGGTTTCACCATGCTGACAGGATGGTCTCGATCTCTTGACCTCGTGATCCACCCGCCTCGGCCTCCCAAAGTGCTGGGATTACAGGCTTGAGCCACCGCGCCCGGCCATGTTCCACATCTGTAAAAGCGAGAGAGATAATTTTATTTATTTTGAGCCAGGGTTTCACTCTTGCCTAAGCTGGAATGTACAACCTCTGCCTCCTGGGCTCAAGTGATTCTCCCACTTCAGCCTCCCGAGTAGCTGGGACTACAAGTCTGTGTCACCATGCACGGTTGATTTTTTATTTTTATTTTTTGTAGCAACAGGATCTTGCTGTGTTGCCCAGGCTGATCTTGAACTCCTGGGCTAAAACATTTCTCCCGCCTTGACCTCCCAAAGTGTTGGGTTTACAGGTGTTAGCCAGCGTGCTTGACCAGAGAGTTAATTTTAAAATAAGCGTTTTCATGAGTACTAAAGGAGTTAATGTATAAAAAAGCATTTCATAAAAATAAAGCGGAAGCATCTTTCTCAGGGTTAAACAAGACAGAGATGGGACCTCCGTAGGTTGGCGTGGGTTTGAGGAATAGACTTGCCCCCAGCAGGCTGTGAGCTATTCAGGGGTAAGGACCATATCACATTCATCTTTTATTTCTTGCATTTGTAACAGTGCTTGTTACATAGTAGTTTCTCCAAAGTATTACATTTAGGTCTAGACACCTGGCAGGTGCTGCATGTAGCCTCAGCTGCTCAGTAGGCTGAGGCGGGAGGATCCTTTGAACGCAGGAGGTGGAGGTTGCAGTGAGCCATGATCACCCAGCTCTGTGACCCAGGCTGCCACTGCACTCCAGCTTGGGTGACAGAGCAAGACCCCATCTCAAAAAAACCAAACAAAAAAAAACCAAATACTAACCTTTGTTTGAATCGTATGGGAAAAAATATCTAAGGAAGGATGCTTCAGTCATTTTTTAAAAAACAGAGACAGGGTCTTGCCACGTTGCTTATGTTGGTCTTGAACTCCTGGGCTTAAATGATCCTCCTGCCTCAGACTCCCAAAGTGCTGGGATTACAGGCATAAGCTACCACATTGGTCTCATTCATTTAACTGATGTTTATTGAACATCTGAAGTGTACTAGCTTGCTATTTAGGTGTTGGGGATACGGTAGTGAACAAGAGAGAAAAATCCTGTTTTCCTAGAGCTTGCATTCTGTAGAGCAGGTTAAACCCTAACAGATATCCTACATGGTGTCAGGTAGTGATAAGTAAATCTAAGAAAGAGGATAGAGAGTATGAAGGGAATGAGCGAAGAGGGAAGATGCCTAGAAGGAATGACTTTTTATGTTAATGAAATTCTTTTCAACCTTGTTTTGGCCATAGGAATAAAGATGGTATATAGCATACCAGAGATTCATTCCAACTAGCATTCCAACTCTGACAGTGACACCAAGAATGTTTTCCGGGGACTGCCTGGTGCTTGTTCTCCCTGGCATTGTCTTCAGGTCAGGGATTTTTCTTTTTTCTTTGTTTCCTTGTTTTTAAATTAAAAATAGAGGTGGGGTTTCGCCATGTTGCCCAGGCTTGTCTCCAACTCCTGAGCTCAAGCAATCCACCTACCTCAGTCTCCCAAAACACGGATTATGGGTGACAGTCACTGTGCCTGGCCAAGTCTGGGTTTTTTCTAACTCTATTAGAGTTAGGTGGTGGAGTTATTTGTTCCCTCCTATCACAGTTTTAAATGTTGCTTATATTTTATGTCTTACTATGATTCTAGTTTTCCTTTTTTTGCTCTTTAATTTTTTTCTTTTTTTCCCCACAGATAAATCTCTTATTATTATTTTTTTTCTTAAAGTTTTAAGTTGTAAATGAAGTATAACCACAAGTACATCTTCCATCGTTAGAGTGGAAGTTCTTTAAAGACTGTGACTTATTTATCTTTGAATCCTTTTGATGCCTGCTGTGGGGTCAAACTGTTGGAGTTAAAATTCTGGCTTACAAGTTGGTTAATTGGGAATAAGTCAGTTACCTTCTCTAAGCCTCAGTATTCTTATCTGTGAAATGGGTATAATAGCAGTATTTACCACATAGGGTTGTTGAGATTAATAAATACATATAAGGTTTTTATGTTAAAATTCAACAAATGGTAGTTTTAATTATTTCTCAAAGCATTTAGCAAAATGTCTTGCACATGCTAAACATACAAATAAATGTTTGTTGAACATGTCAGTAAATATTGTGTTAAGATAAACAATTCTGTTTATTATTGAAATCTATTAATGAAGTTTTTCATCCTCATAATTTTAGGTGAAACAAATAGAGAAGAGAGACTCGGTTCTAACATCCAAAAATCAGATTGAAAGACTGACCCGTCCTGGTTCCTCTTACTTCAATTTGAACCCATTTGAGGTGAGGTGATTGTTGTTACTAGGGCTTCTGTAATGGGAGAGCTTTGCATAGCTGCAGGTGTACCTACATCAGAATACATACTTAATTTATATCATAGTTAGGATTGAGAAAAATGGTGGAGTAAAGTGATGGAATCTGTACAGTACAATATTGAGTATTCCTTATCCAAAATGCTTGGGATGAGAAGTTTTTTGGATTTTGAATTTTTTTTGGAATTTTGGAATATATACATTCTACTTACTTACTGGTTGAAGCATCCCAAATTAGAAAATTCGGAATGTCAATGAGCATTTTCTTTGAGCATCAATTGACCCTCAAAAAGTTTCAGATTTTGAAGCATTTTGGATTTTGGATTTTTGGGTTAGGGATATTAAACCTGTCTGTAAATTGTCTTTAAACTTGGGTGGTTTTACTGAGCAGAGCTGGCGAGGCAGCAAGCTAAGGAAAGTGAGAGGGTCACATATTCTCCATCATCTTTTAGCAACCCAAATATACAAGGATTTAATTTCAGATGTGAAAGAGTGGTTAGCTCTGATAAATTTAGGATTCTTGATTTAGACTACTTGTTAAAACTTTTCTGTTTCACTGTAATAAAAAAATGCCAAAACCCAACAACAACAAAACAAAGATCACAAGATTTTAGATAAGTGAATATACTTTTTGATTTTAATTTTATAACTTTAAACTTTTGCTGACTATAAAAGTAAGTCATATTTGTTATAAATATACAGAAAGCAAGAATAATCATGTATAATCCCACCTAAGAGAAATAGCCACTAGTGTTTACACTCAAACTGTTTTGCTTAAAAACATGGAGCATCATACACTTAATGCTTCTGCTCCTTCTTTTTATTTATTTATTTTTGAGACGGAGTCTCCCTCTGTTGCTAGGCTGGAGTGCAATGTCGCGATATCGGTTCATTGCAACCTCCACCTCCTGGGTTCAAGTGATTCTCCTGCCTCATCCTCCTAAGTGGCTGGGACTACAGGTGTGCACCACCAGCCCAGCTAATTTTTTGTATTTTAGTAGAGACAAGGTTTCACCATGTTGACCAGCATGGTCTCTATCTCCTGATCTTGTGATCCGCCAGCCTCAGCCTCCCAAAGTGCTGGGATTACAAGCGAGAGCCACTGTGCCTCCCTTTTTTTTTTTTTTTCTTTAAAAAAAGAAAAGCAAGATGGGGCCTCATTATGTTGCCCAACCTGGCTTAGAACTCATGGGCTTAAGTGATCTCCTTGACCTGCACAGCCTCTGGAGTAGCTGGACTCCAGGCATTTGGCACTATGCCTGACTCAGCTTAATACGATTTTATTTTATTGTATTTTATTGAGACAGGGTCTCACTGTCACCCAGGCTGAAGTACAGTGGCGTGATCATGGCTTACTGCATTCTTGAACTCCTGGGCTCAAATGATCTGCCCACCTTGGGCCAAAGTGCTAGGATTACAGGCCTTCGGCACCATGTCCAGCTTCAGTGCTGTTTTAAATGCTTATTTATTTATTTATTTTTTAGATATTTTTATTATTCATCTGGGTTCAGGTGGGCTAAGGCTGAAAAAGGCGATAGCCAGTGCTTTTTTTTTTTTTTTTTTTTCCCCTGAGATGGCACCTCTCTCTGTTACCCAGGCTGTAGTACAGTGGCACAATCTCAGCTCACTGCAACCTCTGTCTCCCAGGTTCACACAATTCTCCTGCCACAGCCTCCTGAGTAGCTGGGATTACAGGTGCCCATTGCCACACTCAGCTAATTTTTTGTATTTTTAGTAGAGATGGGGTTTCACCATGTTGACCAGGCTGGTCTTGAACTCCTGACCTCGTGATTCTTCCACCTCGGCGTCCCAAAGTGCTGGGATTACAGGCATGAGCCCAGCTTAATTTTTGTAGTTTTAGTAGAGATGGAGTTTCACCATGTTGGCCGGGCTGGTCTAGAACTCCCAACCTCAAATGATCTGCCTGCCTGCTTCAGCCTCCCAAAGTGCTGGGATTACAGGGGCGAGCCACTGTGCCTGGCCTTAATCCTATATTGTTAATGAAAATTTGTTTATATAACATTTTAAATGTGTTTGGTAAATTTACAAGTTAGAACAATTTTTTTTTTTTTTTTTTTGAGACGGAGTTTTGCTCTTGTTACCCAGGTTGGAGTGCAATGTGCGATCTCAGCTCACCACAACCTCTGCCTCCTGGGTTCAGGCAATTCTCCTGCCTCAGCCTCCTGAGTAGCTGGGATTACAGGCATGCGCCACCATGCCCAACTACTTTTTGTATTTTTAGTAGAGACAGGGTTTCACCATGTTGACCAGGATGGTCTTGATCTCTTGACCTCTTGATCCACCCGCCTCTGCCTCCCACAGTGCTGGGATTACAGGTGTGAGCCACTGTGCCTGGCCGAAAGAACAGTTTTTTTTTTTGAGACAGAATCTCACTCTGTTGCCCAGCAGCTGGAGTGCAATGGCATGTTCTTGGCTCACTGCAACCTCCACCTCCCAGATTCACACAATTCTCATGCTTCAGCCTCTGGAATAGCTGGGACTACAGATGTGTGCCACCACGCCTGGTTGATTTTTTTTATATATTTTTATTAGGGATGGGGTTTTGCCATATTGTCCAGGCTAGTCTTGAACTCCTGAGCTCAGACAGTCCACCTGCTTAGCCTCCCAAAGTGCTAGGACTATAGATGTGAGCCACCGTGCCCAGTCAAAAAAAAAAATTTTGACAACTAAAAAAAAACAAGAAAAAAATTTTTTTGCAATTTTTTTTTTGGTATCCTCGCTGCCCACCTTTTTTGCAGCTCTTGACAAAATGTTAAAATCTTTAATCGTAAATGAACTCTTCAGAAATCAGTACAAAGAGACTAACATTACATGAGAAGTGGAAATAAAAGTAACAGAGGTAATACAGTACAATGGTAGCAGTAGATAAAAAAAAGAAAAAAAAAAAGTAACAGAGGAAAATAGAATAGCACAAATGAGTTATAAGAGTATATGAAGATGTTATAGTTAATACTAATAGTTGAGAAAGCAATTTCATTATAAGTTACATTATCATTGCTTATAAATATTGATACCTAATGTTTGTCCAGCTTTAGGAAATGAAGAAATAGTGGGGAAACTTAACTTTCATCCTGAGGAGTTTACTCAAAAATGTAGATTTTTGCATAAACTTGGCCCCGTCAGTTCCACACCATAGGAATCACTCCAACAAAGTAGTTGGGTACACTCACATATACATACATGCTTACTACATAGAAAATGTGTATTATATCATCCCCAAGAAACTATTTATTAAATGGCTTATAAAATAATAGACTGGGGGCAAAAAAAAATAATTCTATATAATTTATTTAATCGTTTCTTTCTTTTTTGTTTTTTGAGACAGAGTCTTGCTCTTGTTGCCCAGGCTGGAGTGTAGTGGTGCGATCTCGGCTCACCGCAACCTCTGTCTCCTGGGTTCAAGTTCTCCTGCCTCAGTCTCCCGAGTAGCTGGGATTACAGGCTCATGGCACCACGCCCAGCTAATTTTTGTATTTTAAGTAGAAATGGGGGTTTTTCCATGTTGGTCAGGCTGGTCTCGAACTCCCGACCTCAGGTGAGCCACCCGCCTCGGCTTCCATAAGTCCTGGGATTACAGGCATAAGCCACTGCAACCAGCCTTTTTTTTTTTTTTTTTTTTTTTTTTTTTTTTTTTGTGACAGTCTCGCTCTCTGTCACCAGGCTGGATCGTTGTGGCACGATCTCGGCTCACTGCAACCTCTGACTTTCTGGTTCAAACAATTCTGCCTCAGCCTCCCAAGTAGCTGGGATTACAGCCAGGTGCCACCACGCCTAGCTAATTTTTGTATTATTTTGGTAGAGATGGGGTTTCGCCCTGTTGGCCAGGATGGTCTCAAGCTCCTGACCTCATGAGCTGTCCACCTTGGCCTCCCAAAGTGCTGGGATTACAGGTGTGAGCCACTATGCCTGGCCCCCATACTTTGGGAGGCCAAGGTGGGAGGGTCAGTTTAGGCCAGGAGTTTAAGACCAGCCTGGCCAACATGGCGAAACCCCATCTCTACAAAAATAATACAAAAATTAGCTGGGAGTGGTTGTGCATGCCTGCAATTTCAGCTGCTTGGGAGGCTAAGGCCCGAGAATCGCTTACACCCCAGAGGCGGAGGTTGCAGTGAGCCAAGATTGTGCTGTACTGCACTCCAACCTGGTCGACAGAACAGGACTGTCTCAAAAAAAAAAAAAAAAAATTACCGTTTAAACTATTTTTAGTTTTACAATTCAGTGGCGTTAAAGTACATTCACAGTGTTATGTAACCATCACCACCGTCCATATTCAGAAATTTTTCATCACCCCAACCAGGAACTGTATCCAGTAAACGGTAACTCCTCCTTTTCTCCCTGACCCCTGGTAACCTCTACTCTATGAATTTACCTCTTCTAGGAAACTCATATAAATAGGATCATATAGTATTTGTTATTTTGTGACTGGCTTATTTCACTTATCATGATGTTTTCTTTTTTATAAAGACGAGGTTTCACCATGTTGGTCAGGCTGGTCTTGAACTCCTGACAGGTGAGCTGCCTGCCTTGGCTTCCAAAGTGCTTGGATTACACGTGTGAGCCACCATGCCTGGCCTATCATGATGTTTTCAAGGTTCATCTATTTTCTGTTTTTTGAAGAGTAATTTTTCAAGAACTTTTTCATTTTGAAACCATCTCAGATTAACAAAGATTTCAAATATAATATGAAGACTTTTTCTTGAACTCTTTAAGAATAAGCTGTCAATATGATGGTCTGTCACCCTGTAATACTTTAATGTGATTTTTTTTTTTTTTGGGGGACAGAGTTTCACTCTTGTTACCCAGGCTGGAGTGCAATGGTGCGATCTCGGCTCACCGCAACCTCCGCCTCCTGGGTTCAGGCAATTCTCCTGCCTCAGCCTCCTGAGTAGCTGGGATTACAGGCACGCGCCACCATGCCCAGCTAATTTTTTTGTATTTTTAGTAGAGACG